CGCTAAAGACTAAGCCAGCTTTTAGGCTGTCTTGCCTAAAGACTGCAAGGCAGGGTATGTCATTGGTTGAGCTCTCGCCCCTCCTGCTTCAGACAGGAGTCTCCATGTTTTTCTTTAGTACTAAACATTGCTGTGGATTTTGTTGTTAGTTGTCACTTCTGATTGGTAAAATAAAGAGTTGGAGCAGACCAAGGTGTTTGAGCACTGGACCTTCTTCCCTGTGGCACTTCAGTGTTAAGAAAACGAAACATGCAGGTGCTAAGATACCTAAAATGATGATTTATCAGCCCATCATCAGCCAGGATGAGGTATGCCCAGCAAATAAGTCTCCAGCAAGTAAGTCTTTATGCTTCCACAAAGATCACCAGTGAGAGCTGGAGAAGGGTAACTTCTCTATTGCACGTCTGTTAAGTCCTTATTGACACATCAGCCATGGTCTTCCCAAGCTGCAGTTATTAAACTACAACTACAATTTTTTCTTGAGTACTGGCTCAGTGTAATTGAATTGCCGGTATCTCCATTTAGACTCTAGGTGGGGATGACAAGGCTGAAAATCTGATAGGTTTACATATATTTATATAGTACCAGCCAACAGATGACGTTAACAGACAGCTATCTATAAGGGAAGGCTACTCAAATTCTCCCTTTTGGATGTTTTTATGGTCTCCTATGGAGCAGCTGAGGGTGGCTGTTTTCAGAGACAGACCAGGACTAGGATGAACTCTATCCTGCTGCTTTCTGCCACTCCAATGGTTTGGCATGGGTTCTAAGGTTGTATGTAATAAGAAAGAAGATTATCAAGGTAAAGAAATACTGATGCTAACTGAGAGTTAATCATCATACACAATGAGCTTGTATGTTCTGCTTTACAGCTAAGTTACCTGTCAATGCAGAGCTCCTGACAATTAGAAAAGGCATGAAATGAGGGTGATGATAGAGTTAAAAAAGAAAATACCGCTTTTCTGTTAGAATACTATTAGGTGCCAGAGTAAAATGAATTGCAATCTACCAGCCATGTATGTTTTAACTTTCTCCTGACCTATGAGGTAATACTTTTGAAGGCTATGATTCTCAGAAGATGTGTCCATATTCATTTGTCAGCTCTTATCTAACAAAACCTGAGAGCAAGAGAAACTGAAGATCATGCTTGCTAGGAAAAGTGTCACCTTTTCTGCACGTCCTCTGGAGATGGTACGCGTAAACACAGCACTGTCCCTAGCAGTGTTTTCTAGACACGGTTCTGTGCATGCTTGTCTGTAAGGGCTGAGGTGACCGACAGTGCACCCCTGCCGTGCAGCCAGCGGGCCTCCCTCCAGGGCTCCTGGGCATGGCATGAGGACGGGACCCACCAGGTGGCACTCCTGGAGCACCACCAGGGACCGCGGCCACAACCTGGTGCAGCCCACTGCTTTTCCAGCACATCTGACTCCTAGGGAAAGGGGATTAGGACAGGTCTCTCCCGAGAGATGGCACAAACAGGAACTGCAGAGCCCTGCAGAATATCCAATGTTCCTGAGCCGCCTTAGGCCTGCATGAGGGGATTTTTTTTTTTCATCCCGGGGCATTAAGTGGGCTACAGACTCCAGTACGGTAGCCCTTGTGTATGTGTGTTCATCAAGAAGAGATGGTGCTGTATTCCTTTGTGCTACTCCCAGCCATCCTGCCTCCCCAACCATGTGATCTACCACTGAGCAGGGCCCTGGGGATCTAGCTAGAACATCTTCCATTTTATTACAAATTATCTAGATTGCTGAGGTAAAAGGGGTGCATAAGCATACCTGCGATGGTGCCTCAGCTGTCGGCACAGCTTCCCTTCAGCATGGGTTAGTTAAAATAAAACTCCCCCAACACAACAGTGTCTATATACTGCTACTAAAAAAAAAAAAAAATTGGACCGCTTTACCCATTTGGCTTGGACGCAAAATCTCAGAGGCAAGTCTTACCTTCTCACCTATTAGCCAAACAGTCTTAGTGTTCTGGAGCACATTGCGTATGGCATATGGAATCTCCCTTTACATTTATGCTGACTGACCTTCACCTCTATATAAAAACCTCAGTTAAAACCTCTCTGAGCACAGTGAGGTATCCTCCTGGACTGTCAACAGTATCTTGCTGATAGCTCTTAAGGCAAGTACTTTGTTGGATGCTTAAAAAGAACAGGAGGGATAGGAGGGAAGAGTGGGTTTTTCTGAGGACAGACAAAGAAATTGGAAATCCTAGAAACCTTGTTGCCAGGGGCAGATCTAGTAGAGAAAGCCTCATCCATCTGGACACAGCAGCTCTCTGTTGTGGTCCAAAGTCCTGCCATGTGGGAGTGGCTCGTACCTGGGTCTTTCCTGGTAGTCTCTAAAGCACCTAATGCTGCTGATAAGATGTAAAGTAAACAGCCCCTGCGCTGCTGCCCTGCCATGTGCCCATCTCTTTTACAAGCAAAGAGGAGAAAATGTACAGGAGTGATTAAAATGAAAACCTACTGCAAGCAGCCGGAGCCTGCTGCCTCCGGTTTTGTCTTCCACAGCACTGAAAGGTAGTGAAGGTGGAAGCAGGGTGGGACCACTGATCTTTGCTGCCTAATGTGCCTTGGAGTCCTCTGTCTCATGGCTTGAATGAGTGGAAACCCAGTCCATTTCACTGTGGAAAGCAGCTGTAGGGCTGCTACTGAATCAAGGGGAAATAATCTAATATATGTTCTGTAACTTGATTGCTCCCATACCTGCTTAAGTACCTTGCCAACCTACAGGAACAGTAAAAATCTCCTTTTCAGTGCCATTATTTTTCTGTCATCATGTTCAATATAGTACATGCCCCTGAACAGCTGCTACCCCTGAAGGCCTGGGTCTGTCTTGCCACTGCCAGATCCACTGTCCTGCATGCTAATTTAGCTTCACTTGAGACAAGGAGAGAGCAAGTAGCTGCTCTGACAATATGCATCATGGATATACCAGGATCAGAACAAGGGGCTCACAGTGCATCCCTTAAATGTCTTTGAATCAAAATCTAGTGTAATGCATTATTAAAGCTACTTACTTTTTCTATGTTCTCGTCTCTGAAAAAAATTAGACTTAAGGTAGTAGAGCAGTGCTGTTCTAAGGAGCTCCTCCTTTCTTCTCTTGAAGAAATACTTTGGCTTTCCTTTTACAAATAATTTTTCTTCTGAGCTGCTCATGACTTGGATTGCTTCTGAATCTGTCATCCAAGCATGTGCACACTAACCATTGCCTTCGCTAGTTGGTGGGAAGGGACTTACAGAGTCTCTAATCCAAAATCTATGTGCTAGGCAGTGCTACCACCAACACAAGAGCAAGTTGGCTGTGGCTTTTTCTACAAGTTTGGATACAGACTCCAACATGTCTCTGGATAACCTGTTCTAGCACTGCACCAACTTCTTAGTGAAAAAGTTTTTCATAGTATCCAGCCTGAACAATGCAAGCTACAAATTGTGGCCATCATCACTTCTTATATCACCTGCCATTGCCAATATGAGTTTGGGTTTGTTGCCTTTGCAACTCACACTCAAGTAGCTGTAGGCTGATAATAGATTGCCTCTGAAACTCCTCTTTGCCAAGCAAACAAGCCCAGCTCTATTAACTTCTTTGTAGGTCGCATGCTACCGTCTTGGTAGCCCTCCACTGGACTCTCTCTAGTTCCTCCACGTGCCTCTTGAACTTCAGGGGTAGGGAACTGCACACAGCAGTCCAGGTGTGGCCACACCAGTGCTAAGTAGACAGGAGTAACTTCCTTCAGTCTCTGGCCATGTTCTTCCTAATACAGTGTGGTGTGTGGGTTGTCTTCTTCAGGATCAGAGCTTACTGGTATCCATGGCAACGCCCAGGTCCTTTCAGTGGGGCTGCTCCTCAGCCAGTCAGTCCCCTCCCCGAACAGATGCATGGGCTAACTGTGCCCTGTTATAGAACTCCACTCTGCTTCCTAAACTTCACAAGGTGCCTGCTGACCCAGCCCTCTCATTTCTCAGAGTCCCTCTGGATTGAAGCTCTGCTGTTCAGCATGTCAATTGCTCACCCTAAATTATCATCATCGTAAATTTGCTAGTTCCTGTTTCCTGTAGGATGACTTACAGACAGTTATTCTCACCAAAGATAATGTCTATCCATTAAGCTATATAACTTTATACCTATCCAGACAAACACCTAAATATCTCTGATCTTCCTGCTGTGAACCACACTGAGGCTAAAATACAAGAGCAGCTTTGAATGCTTTATTCATAGGAACAAAGGAATAAAACTATATCTGAGCCAGAAGTGGCCGAATACCACAGGTACTGAAGCAGAAAACTATGGGTAGCTGCTTTGGATGTCAAACCCCTGAACCTTCTTTGGCAATGAGCAGCCAGAGCTGTTTAGGGCACTAGCACTCATGCTAGGAAATGAAGAGAGTTTTATTTGGTTTTCTATGAATATAGACATTAACTTCTGCTGGGCTGTTTGCATTAGGTTAATATTTCTGTAGCGTACAGGTGTTAATATGAGCTCTGAGTGTCTGCTGTCTGTCTCTAGCCCTGTAAAGAGCAGAGTGTGGCGCTGTAAATATTAGCCCAGGCAGAGAAGTGTTTGCACAGCCCTCCTCTGTGCTGCCTCCTGCAGTAGTACTCCGATAGTACTCCTTACAAATGACCCAGGCTCAGCTGTCAGAGCCTCAGCATCTTCTGCATTGCGCAGTAATATGCTCTGGTTTTGACTCAAGAAGGGTTGTGGTGATCAAATCCTGAAAAATGCAGCAGAAGCACCAGCATGCTATGATCTTCGTAAGATTAGTACTACACGAAATAAGGTACAACTAAGTAACTCAGCACATACTGCAAACAAAATACTTGCTTGGTCAAACCCACTCTTCACTGGCTGTGGTAGTTGCAGATGTAAAGAAGAAATGCCTAGCACATCACTGGAACTGCTACTTGCTTTAATATAGTGATATGCAGTCATTTAAGAGGGAAACTAATGATCTGTGCTCTCAGTTTGTTCAAAAGGGCTCCCCAGTAATGGAAAGGACTGACATTGCTGTTGATTTGAACAGAAGAGGAAACTGAAACTATCCTCCTGCAGATACTGTAGGGACCTTCCTGCCACCAAAGAGAGGAACAACTAACGAGGAAACAGCACCAGCATGGTGAATGGAATCCTTGTTCCACAGAGGATCCTGCGTGCACCTCACACGCAGTCTATGGTAAGACATAACATAGATGTGGTCTGCCATGTGTCTAAACCTGCTGAATGAGTTCTTAATGTGTGAGAGGAAAAACTTTTCATGCACTGTATCAAGTCCTTCATAGCCTGAAAGCAATATGAAGAAGATGAACTGCAATGGCCCCAATGAATTTC